GCGTATGAAAGAGAACGATGGTTTGGGCTCGGCTCAGTCAAACATTGGGGTTTGGGAGGAACATGGAGGTGCGTACCCCTCTGAGGCGGGAGGATGAATCAAGTCTGAGGGTTGCGTGGAGAGTGGTCTGGACGGGTTACACAGTGTGAGCGAACGGTGAAGTGAAGTCATTGCAACATCGATATGTGATCACATGGAGGATAATCGGTAAGCCGGCGCTCATTACTCGGGGCAGGCGTTTGCTTTGGTCATTCAGGCTGAGATCTCGACATACGACTTGCTAATTACATAATAGTCGTGTCGGTTGGCATGTAACCATGGCACATAAACTAGGTGAGCCGATAGATGGTAGGAGTTAAAAGTTAGATCATTCTTATTCATCTTATTGATTACATAACACTTAGGTCGGGTGGGCAAGTAACCATGGGGCATAGGGTGGGTAAACAAATAGTTGGGTGTAATCCAAAGTTAGCTGGCGTCATCCGTCTTGCGAATTGTGTGGTAAACTTACCACTTACTCTGACCTCGATGTTCGAATAGGTCTGGAAGTAAACAGCCATCCCAGCTAACTGGAGTGAATCGATTATAGTGCGAATATGCAAAAAGGGCAGTCACACCTTCGGCACATTCCACGATGATATTAGCTCAACGCCGGTGGTGACAAAATTACTCTTTCCTCACCTCACTGCGGACCGGGATTTCCGGATTATTTGCAATTTAACAGGTTCCATTCCAGTACGGGTCTTTCTAAACCGGGTAATAGAGCAACGTCACGCGTCCCGTAGACGGACAGTAGCCATGATCATGGACCTCACTAATACCTCTGTCTCAGTTGACCGAGCCAATGTGTTCGAAAAACTTGCTCAGCAACATGTGAACCTTCGACGTTCCCTGTACTCGAACAATACAGGCCGCGTCATGGTCTACGGTAAATTATCAGATACCATTTTAACAACAAGTAGCCTTCGTTAGGGTCTTCAAATTTTTGTTCAACTGTTGTGGACTCCATCATCGAGGGTCCCCTTACAGAATCTTACGATACAAGCCTTGACGTGCCGTCTGGTGAGAAGCCGGGTCTTTATTGTGCGTAAAGTATTGTCTTTTAGGGGTGGTCTTGTCAACCTCGTATAATCTCTTTGAAGTTGTCTTACCATTTGGCATGCGCTTCGCACCTTCAACGTGCATAAGGTTGTTGCAAGGTCACGAGCCACTTGACGACCCCTTGAACGTTGATAGCGAGGAGCTCGAGGATGTTAATCTATTCACTTACCTGACATCAGCAACAACAGGCGCAAGACTACTCAAGCCACTTCCTCTATTACAAAAGCAAGAACGGCCTTATTCAAACTGCGACACCTGTGGCGTCATAAAAACTTTACCCAGCGGTTGAAAGGCCACGTTCACCTAGACACAGGGAGGACAGCCTGACTCTCCCCTTCGACCTGAGGACCCGTGGAGCCTTCAAGTCTTTAGTCATCGTTGTCAAAACAGCATGGTTTGTGTCGGATGACACCAATGTGTCTGCAAATATGATCTGCGTAAGCGAGTATTAGGCAGTGTTAACCAGGCTATTTCCTTAAAACAGCAGATAGTTTGGGCGCGTATAATGTATGCCTGTTCACTGTGTACCGAAGGGAGCCTTGTCTTGTTTGTCAGCTGTAAGATGACGCAAGACTCGAGGTGGTCAAATGTTCACTTGGAAGTGAGAGACAAAGTCGCTGACTACAAAGCTGGAGGCCTTCCCGTTTGCAGACCAACTCGTGCATGGCTCAAGACACAGTGAGACATGGCTAGCAGTCGTCACCAATGGCGCGTTTGCTGTTGTCTCCTAGCGGACTGCCTGTGTAAAGGGCAATTAGTGTTGAGTTATCCCCGGGATTATGGTTGAGTATGACGTGAGGCCATTAAGGCAGCAAGGAAGCTGTCTCGCTGAAGCCGCCTTATCTTTGCACGATATCCCGACATAGTATAAAGGTACCAAGCTCATCTCGTAATCTGGCGGCGAAGGTTTGAGCCTGCGTATGAGCAGAGACACGCTCGTAATATCCTTAGCCCACATGCGACTGGTGGTGGTTGCATGCCAGCGAAGCGTCCGTACTGCCTATCGGTGTACTGCTAAAGTTTATTCTCTTTTCTATGCGCGATAACCAGTTGTCGTTTATCATCATCATCAACAGCAGTTCATCAGCTATCTAAACTGACACTTCGCTGCCATACAACCAAGAGAAGCTATGAAATGAACAACAAGAACAGGGAGAGAATAGGGGACTCAACTGAAAACCTTAGTGCTCTAAGCAAACAATCAAGGCCAAGGCGCCTACAGCTGGTGTAGACAACACACCGTCATAAATAGCGGGCTATCGTGCAAAGATAAGATCGCATCGGCGAGACAGATTCCTTGCGGCTTCCACTGCCACGCATCCTAATCAGCCACTACCTCGCAGATAACTCAGCAACAAACAAACTTTAAGCAAGCGATCCGACTAGAAGACGGCAGCAGATGTGCCGCTGCTTTCGGCCGCGAGCCGTGTCCTGTAAAGTCTCAAGCCAAGCACAAGGCGAGTCACGTGAACTCCAGCCCGGAAGGCGAGACGAACCATCGGCACTAAGTTTGGTCGTCAATGACTTCAATTTTCGCTGCCAAGTCAAATTCTGTCCACCTCAAGCCTTGCGCCACCATACACATGGCAAACAAAACCAGGCCCTCCTAGGTAAGCGTTGACCAGGAATGCGCAGCACGTGCCCGAGCCAACGCAGCTTATTCAGTGCTACCTGTTGTGCTAGAGAGCTAGCATGATTATCACTACCTAATACTCGCCTACGCGTATCATCCTTGCGGACCCACTGGTGCTAAACGACACAAGTAATGCTTCGCACACAACGACGCTCAAGGAATTAAAAACGCCTCAGATCTTCAGACCGAAGAGGCCAAGTCTTAATATCATAATGCAGAACAGCCCTCACTGTGGCCTTGTATACCCGGCCTTTCAGCCGGACGGAACTCCATTTTGTCGCCAAAGATGCCTCAGTTCCAAGAAAATCGCTCTACCCTTTGCAATGGGTGAGCTGACGTGTTTCTATGCCCCAAACATTGCTGATACAGCTGCTGAAATAAGTGAAATGATCAACCACCTCGAGTTCCTCGTTAGCAAGCGTCATTGGGTTAAAAAATGGCTGGTGGCCCTGCAGCATCAATTTGCACTTTGAAGGTGGGGATTGCACACCAGCTAATGGGACTACTGTGGACCGGCTATTCAGGGTTGATTGTGCTGCCGCAACATGCTCGAATCAAGACGATATCGTCCGCATAACCTAGGTCAAGTAACCTTTCGCCAGGCAGCACTACAATGCCTATATCGTGAGATTCCGCAACGAAACACTCCATGATAGAATCCGCGAGGAAATTGAACAAAATTGGGTTAATCGTTTTGGATAGGTTGATTGGATTTTAATCAGTAGCCGGTTGCTTGCGGTCCGATTGGCAGGCACGTTCACTACCTCGAAGTCGCGTGGGACTAACAAGTGTCCATTCGCTAGCGCTGCCTACGCACCGACAAACTGTTGCGACGACTAAGTAAAAGATGACTTCTCTCGTCAACTGAACGATCTCCATATATAGAGAAGAAGCTCAGACAATGT